CCACGACTCGTGTAGGTAGCCGCTGATATCTTGAGTCTCGAGAATTTGATCCTGTAGGAGGGCCCTCTCCTTAGCACTGGGTCCACTTGCAAAGCGCAGAAGGCCGTAGATCCATCGAGTGCCACTCAGGTTATGCTTTTGCCCAAAGGTCTTGAGGGCATTGGCGCTGAAAATGGAACCCACAGAATTTAGCCAGAAGAGGAGTAGACCCACAGCCATGCTGATTTTTGACGTAAGTGGGGACTCGGCCGCGTGGAAGACTGTATAGCCTGGCTGCACCGCCATGAGGAGACAGAAACTGCCAACAAAACTATTCAACGGGTTTGAGCTCATGCACACATCATTTTCAGCTGTTATGTTCTCCAGGTCAACTTTGCCGGCAGCGTAAGCATGTTTTATTAACATCGCTTTACCAACGTATTCCATCACCCAAAGGACAGAGACGGTGAAAAGGGTAGTCCGCATACCGCCAAAGCTGCAAATTGATATGTAGCCGGTTAGTACAAGGAAGAAGGCTCGGCTCGTGCTGAACTGTTCCACGGTGCCAAAAATGATAGGTCCAGCATAAATATGGTAAAGATAGAAGGACCCCATAAGGGAATTTATATAGTACAGAGCCAGAATATATGGATTCTCGTAGCGGTGCATAAGGTATGCTCCGATGCTCTGAAAGCCCATTGATGATATCCTGTTCCAGAAGAAAACGCACAGGGCGAAACTCACTGTCCTTCCAAGTATCAAGCTGATAGCCTGCAATCGGCTCACATACATGCTCTCAAGGAGAAGATTTGGGCTGAAAATCTGGGAAATTGTAATCGCTAGAACGACGACGTTGCGCAAGTAGTCACTGCCACCGAACAGCAGTTGCTCAACAACTTCAACTTTACTGCCAGACAGTCCGGTACCATGTAGGCTGTCGTGCAAATACGAACACACCACAAAAAGAATAATTACAACCAACGGCAAAACGGTCACTGCAATGGAAACAAGCCCAACGCCTGTTTCGGACATCGCGTGTACTGGTAACTCATTCACGTGCAGGTTATCGATCAGTTGCGCGAGTGGCCTTGCCGGACGCTTTAAAATGAAGCCGGGAACAACTAGTGGTTTGTGCAAACAGATTCGATGGTTCTTAACAGCACGTGTGAACTAGATACCCTCTTAGTTAACGTCAAACAAGCAGTTTGTGGTCAGGTTGGTAGGTGGACAGTAAAGCAGTAAAGGGCTATGTCAAGATCACGTTGTAAGGAGAATTAGCCTTCATTCCGGACTGATTTATAGTGTTAGTTGTTCACATTGCTCGACAATAACTGCATATTTCTTTTAGTTATTCTCCCTTTTAAATTGTACAAAATTTATTTTCACTCTTGAAAGAATTGTGAACGACCTGTCAATTAATGTAAATTTTTGTTTTTACTAGAGCTTCAACATCTTCTTTTGAAGCTGATCAGGAATATATATCTCACTAGTTATTTTCACTCGACATTTCCTCATCCGGCCTGGACTGTGACGGGATAGATGAATCGCGGAGTGGTGCTAAAAGAAAAAAGAGGGTTTAAGCGAGGGCATGATCCAGACTCCCCAGTCCTTTTGGGCGTCCACTTCTTCCAGTACTACGCCATTTAGTCGCTTAACCGTACGGTTAAAATAACTGGTTTTGCCGGCTTGAATGATGTTTCAATTGCTCTTATTAAACGGCAAGAGCCAGTCCTTTGACCATTTTGGAGTTGATTTATGTTTACCTGCAAGTTCTTTTCGTTAGCCTCAATTTGAATGACGCGCCAAAGTTTTATATTCCCAGCAAATATGGTGATATCGCAATCCAGTTCGCTGACGCAATCGTTGATGTAAAAAATGAACAAAATAGGGCCTAGAACGGAGCCTTGGAGAGCAGCATTCTCAATCGCAACCTTAGCCGATTGTTTGTCGCTGATATAGACAGTTTGCGAGCGGCCGGTTAGAAGTTTTTCCATCCACGCCAGAAGCCTGTCTGTCTGAGTTTATAAAGAGGATGAT